ATCACAAAACATTTGGATTTTTACAGAAAATACACTGCAGCTAGACCGCCAGACATGGATTCACCAAGATTTTTTTTCAAATACGCTGGTGGTAGGTCCTACAGGCAGGTCATAGGTATCCATAAATTTGGAAAGATGCCTCAAGTAATTGCGAAATTCCTAAAATTACCCAATGCAATAGAATATACAGGACATTGTCTTAGAAGGACGTCTGGTGCTTTATTGGCAAATAGCAAGAAACGCTTTCTGGAAGTACTCTAGTCAAGAAAATAACATGACGAACATGAAAGATCAAAATACTTTCAATTTGATTAGGTATAACTTAAATAGCTCGTGAAATTTAGTTCTGTTTTTCACAAGAGTCTCTGACAGTTTGCAAACTGTTGAAAGTAATCGCTTAGCTAAGTTACTGATTTATCTTGAAACGAAGGCATTATGCGCGTATTACATCTGTGTATTTTTCTGTGTATTTATTCATGTAGTTCAGGGTGACAACCAAAAAACTTCAATCGCAACATAAATCAACATTATGAAAAACAAAATAATGTTGGCACCCTGAACTACATGAATAAATACACGGAAAAATACACAGATGTAATACGGGTTTTAGAACATGCATGTGCGATGCTTTCTGACAGTCAAAGGCTCTTGTGAGAACAGACATTTTATGTCCTACTCAATAAATGTCAATAGTTCTGCACCTAATATGTAATTTAGCTGCTAGATTTTCTAGATAAAAGTTTCATCTAATGCCTGATAGTTTTTTACAATTTTCTTTCCCATGTACTGTGTGAATAAATTTCCATTAATATAATAAGTATGTCTTGTTTTTGTTTAAACATAAAATGTGAATATTATTATCAGTAAAAGTGACACCTTATTTAATTAAAATAATAATAATAATAATATTCTTTATTTTAGGTAATTCCAGAATATATAATTTATAAACCCAAAGCTTAAATGAAATAGTGTCAAAAGAAGAGTGTATAAAATTCAAAAGTTTGTCCTATGTTTTCCATCTTGCATCAAAATATTCGTTAAGGTTATATGGTTCTAAATTAATCACATCTGTGTTATATCTTGAGTTGAAATTATTAATACCTAGTGAATTTTTCCTTGTTTTTGTGAAGAAACAATAAACATTCGAACAAATATATTCCATAGATCGTATAGTCTAAGAAACGGGGATCTGAAAAGGTTGAGGTAAACTTCGTTCATTCTTGGCCTGTATTCTTTGGACAACATTTTTGTTTCACCTATCCTACCAATGGCTTCAACTAGTTTAAAGAGAGTTCTTTTCCTCATTTGAAATAAATTGTAAAACTGGTAATCATTATAGTCATTGAACCATTTCTCAGCATTGAAAATGTTTAATGAATTTTCTTTAATAACTAATGCTGCTAGTGCAATGTTTGTATGTTCTTGAAACCACTAAGGAGGCTGCAATGTTGTTTTATGAAAAATTGTTTATCACCAAATGAAGCTTGAGTATCCATAAGCCAGCATTATTATCATACACTATAGTAGATAATTTCACTCACTGCAACTCACCATCATGTTTAGATCATCCCCAAAGAAAGTCTCTTCGATAAACGAGACTAACGAGAGATTTCGTTCCATTTTTTGTACCTAAATAAGAAACCGTGGAAACGGAGAAACAAACAAAAATATAAACATAACCTGTTACAAATAAAGTTGAAATTTGCCTCTTTAAGAGAACCTAGAGTCGTGGAGTTCAAATAATTAAAATAACGTGTATCCCATTCATTTGCAAATGAAACCACTCCAAATCCAACAAACAATAATTTTATTTGATATTTAACAAGTTCTGTGTTTAACAATATAGTGACAATGCCATCTTTCTTTGGAACATGTTGTAACTGTCAATGTTACTTTCTGTAAAATTTTACAGTTGACAGCTTGGCTGTTCTGATGAATCTGATACAATGTACCTTTCCAATCCGGAGCTCTTCAATGGGTGTTGGGGTTTCACTTTCGTGAACTAGAGCTCTTCGTGTTGTTTCCTTTTCTCCGACTCTATTTAGAGCAAATGGTCCCATATTCCCACACCAATAATTGATTTTGAAAACCAGAGCAGTAGTACCTATTTATTAGCCCAAAAGTCTGAATTGACTTACCTCGGAAAAACGTGGCACCACCAATTGCACAAAATGGAAGTCCACAATTAGATAAAAAAAATTGAAATATAATATACACCGCACAAAAATTATCGCATCTATCATAGCAGAAAACACAGAAATGAAGATAATTGCAAAGGGGAATGTATGCCTATCCGCATATTCCCGGAAAAAATAAACAAGAAAAAGAAACGACATGTTTTTGACTCGAGTTTTTCAGTTTTAAAGAATGTCCGTTCAGGGAATACTTAAGATATTTTTAAAATAAATTTACTGTAGCCAAACTATTTAAAAGCATTGGTGATGCGATAATTTTTGTGCGGTGTGTATTTATATTTCAAGAATAGATAAGATACAAATTATCAGGTAAAAACTTAACAATGATATGATAATATGCACTGATAGCAAAATATATTGAAAAATTTATAAGGGAGAATCTAGAAATGTGAAGGTAAAAGTATAAAAATAAAAATGACTCACCTGCTACAGCACTGCCAGGAAAAGAGAAGGTTTTAGAAACCAAACCCCACAGGAAAACAATCCTGTGTTTTTTATACTTAACTGCGTTTTAACCAGTTCAACCAATCAGAAGAGTACACCCAAAAGATCATATTCACTTTACAATGACTTCCCAATGAAAAACCGCGTGGAATAAAAGAGGATAGATAAAAATCCACTAGAATTATTTTAATTGTTCACAAATTATAATAATTTAAATTAAGGTCATGTCAAAAACACTTGGCTGTCAAAGTTGTCAACCAGAAGAATAACCACGGTATTTACTAATGAATAATCATTCCACGCTGAAAATCGCGTATAGAATAGGTAATATGACACTTCCAAATTTTTAAAAAGTCATTAATGTCAGTGGCGATTTTCAACCTGGAATGATTATTTATCGGTAAATACCATGGTTATTCTTTTGGTTGACAACTTTGATAGCCAAGTGTGACGTCATAGCCCCCACCACTCAAGAATCATAACCCAAGGAACTGATCGCTGGAATGATTTGGTTATAGCAGTGTAGGTTTATGTTTATTATACTTATTTGTTTTTTCGTTTCAACAATGGTTTCTTGTGTAGGTGCAAAAACTGGAGCGGAATCTTTCGTTAGTCTCGTTTATCGATCAGATTTTCTTTGGCGATGATCTAAACGTGGTGAGTTGCAGTGAGTGTATACTTCTGCCATTGTCCAAGGCCACAACACAAATGCATAATCACAAAACACCAAAATAATAACAATAACATCAAAAAGCTGTCTGTAACCAAAAGATTAACCCAAATTTAAAGCTGGGTTATAATCGGTTATAAGTGGTAAATACCAAAAGCAAATCAGCTGATCTGTGACGTCACAATTTCCCCTACTTTGGTAAAAACCGCGACAGCAGAAATGCATTGGTTAAAACCAAATTATAATCATTTCAGGCTGAAAATTGCCTCAAGATTACTATATGGTTGCAATTAGGCAATCCAGACCACGTGATTCAATATGGCCGTTCAGGTCAAATATTGTGGTGACGTTCAAGAGGAAAGTATTATTTGTGTTCTGGCCCTTGTTTCAGATGCCAAACATGCTAATGCCAATATCAAACCTCAACGTCCAGAATGTGACAAAATAAGCAATTTTTATTGACTTTTATCAGTAACCTAAATATAAACAACACGGTGTTTGACCTGCACTTCCATATTGAATTTCGTTCGACAGGTCAATGAATTGCCTAATTGTTGCGAATAACGTTAATAATGCTTGTCCAAATTAGCTGTAAAAATGACCGAATCTGAACGTTGAATTATGTTGTCAAATTGCCGAATTTTCTGATTGGCTCTTAAATAGTGGAGTAATGAGATTAGGATATTCTCATTGGTTGAAAACAATTAGGTAATGAAAAAAAAATAACTGTATGAGTGATCAGTCATATTGATCAATAGAAAATGGATGTATATAACGCATATTATTCAATACTTAGAAAAAGAAACATTCCCGGACTCCTTATTGCAAGTCTCGCCTTGCGTCTTGACAATGTTCAGCTTTTTCTCCTAGGTTATCAATATACTATTTGACTGCATCATGAGTATTGAAATAGTTATTTGTTTGGATGGTAAAGTGCAGTGCCAATGAACCAAGGCATTAAATAGGACTTCATTGCTCTGTTGAACACAGGTTTTTTCATTATTTCATTTTATATCAATATTCAATAAAATATTAACATATTTTTGGTAGTAGTCATTATTCGAAACAAGTTTTTGGTAGCTGTTTTAACGTTGCAACCTCATCTTCTAGACAATAGTTTGAAAACTTTGTTTCTTTTTTTAAATAACTTCTATTAGTATTTGTTATCTCTATTGATTCAAGAATTTTTCAGAAACTTATATCATTAAAATCGAAGAAGAAAGTGACGACGAAGTTCTAATAAAGCCGGAAATAGCTCAATTGGCAAAGAGCGTGGAGTTAAATTCGCTTCCGGAAAAGTCGAGAAAAATTTATGAACTAGCCTACAAGAAGTTTATGAACTATCGGATTGAGAAGAAGATCGAGTCCCTTTCTGAGAATATTTTAATAGCATATTTTGCAGAAATGAGCCGCAACAGTAAAGCTTCAACCTTGTGGGCTTCTTATTCGATGTTAAAAACAACTCTTAATTTGAACGACAATGTCGATATATCTAGATATTTGAAGCTGAGAGCTTTCTTGAAAAAAAAATCTCTTGGTTATCAAGCCAAAAAATCCCGTGTTCTAGAAATGGAACATATAGAAAAATTTCTACTGGAAGCCCCAGATAAGCACTTCTTAAGTACAAAGGTATGATTGTTTAAATGGCTTGCAAGTAATCAAAAAATTCTGTATTTTTTAAATTATTTCAGGTTGCCTTGGTTATTGGTGTTGTTGGGGCATGTAGAGGCCAAGAACTGGTTCGATTAAAAATAACTGATATTGTGGATATGCATGACAAACTATTGATCACATTACCTGACACCAGAGCAGATAGGACTAGATCTTTTTTTATAACTAAACATTTGGATATTTACAGAAAGTACACTGCAGCTAGACCGCCAGACATGGATTCACCAAGATTTTTTTTCAAATACACTGATGGCAAGTCCTACAAGCAGGTCATAGGTAAACATAAATTTGGAAAGATGCCCCAAGAAATTGCAAAATTCCTAAAATTACCCAATGCAATAGAATATACGGGACATTGCCTTAGAAAGACATCTGGTGCTTTGTTGGCAACTAGCAACGCACGCTGGCTGGGGGTGCTCTAGTCAAGAAAATAACATCACGTCAAGAAAAAACTTCAAATTTAATTAGGAATAATTTAAAATAGCTCTTAAAATGTATGTCCTACCTAATAAGTTCTGTGAAAAGTGTGCTTAATATAGGTATAATTTAGCTTGTAGATTTTCTAGGAAAAAGTTTCATGTAATGCCTGATAGTTTTTTACAGTTTTGTTTCCCATGTTATATGTGAATAAATATAAATTAATATGATATGTCCTTTAAATATAAAATGTGAATATATTATCAGTAAAAGTGACACCTTGTTGCCCTTACTGAAGCAAAACAGGTAATGTTATGACAGTCAAAGAAATAATAGACTTTGTATTTAGGAGGAAAAGTAATACATTCTCGGCCGGCGGTGTAAATTACTACACGAAACGCAGCTTAGGCCAACAAGCACTCAGACACAAAAAGGATTTTTTTCGAATAGGTACTTATACTTTTTTCTCTGCGACCAAAAACAAATACAAAACAAATATTTAACATAAAAATAATTACTGAAAATGAGTAAATCTGTTGCGATTTAAAATAACAGATTTTCAGTTCAACAAAAAGTTGGTAGAGATGCGGATATAGCACCCAAGAAACAAACTTCAAATGGGATCATCGAAATGACATCCACTTCTGAAGAATGAGAAAAAATATCTTCGTTATGTTCATCGGACAAAGGATTTCTATCAAAGGTTTTCCGATATCGTAGCAAAAGCAAACTATAAAACTACCCGGATCTCAAAATAATAAATAAAGTGGTTTGACTTTAAGAAAGCATTTCAAGCTATTTTCGATGCAAATTTGAATTTGATGAAAAGCTTATCTTAAAGGCAAATCTTTGTTATGGTATTGCTAATTCTCAAGTCACTAATGACAATTATTCAAATGTCATAGAAATTGTTTGATAATAGCGAAAACAAAATCTTTCGTGTGCTTCGTGCGATACATCGAGCGTATCGATATGTTCTTGGGTAGCTAATAATGTTTTTTTTTTTTTTTTTTATTCTACTAGATTGGTTATCTCGTCATGCCTACTCAGAAGACTAGGTTGGGCTGAACTGAATTGTTGATATTAATTTTATTCCATCTTATGTTGCCAATTCTGAGATTAGAGTTCACCTGCGAAGGAAAACATCGATCTGCTTGGTCTTCCTAAACATATGGCGTATAAAAGACTGCTTTATCTAGAGGAGCATCTACACGAGGACAAAAAGTTGAAAAAGGAATATGTTGCCTCTCTTAAAGAGCATAAAGATCTTGGGCACATGACCAGATCCTTGCATGAGTATCAGAGACTCGCATTCTTACTTGCCATATCATGCAGTAGTCAGGAAATCCAGCTTGACAACTAGTGGGTTTTAACGCGTCAGCACAAACTGGTAACGGGTCTTCAACAACAAAAAAAAAAAAAAAAACAATCAAAGATTGATATGGTTTTTTGAACGTTTGTCTTAGCAATACTTTTCTTTAATTTTGTCAATGAACTTTAATGTCAAAATGTCATGTCAAAAATCCTGACCAATAAGGAAACAATAATGCGACGTACGTTTTTGTAATCAAGATACTCTTTGTTTTTTTTTTGTTATATTTTTTAATGATGTGCATCTTGCTCCCACTATTCAAAAAGATTTGATGATGCAATGCTGATGTCGCGAAGATCCAAAGATTTAACACTGTTACCTACTCAAGTGTGGCGCCTCCTCTCCATTTTTAGCTGTTTGAACTTTACGTCAGTGGGCTTAGATTCAGATATTTATCTCCAGTCAAGCCAAGCTATAATAAATTATTTTTATCCAACACTTGCTAGTTATATAGTCATTATTTGTGCCAATTTAGACAGGTAAACTATCAAATAACACACTAGTGTGTTATAAACCATAACCCACTAGTGGGTTATAGTTAATAACTCACTCTCTTATAAAGTCAGCGCATGTGTGCTGCTTGTGTGGTATGATTTCTGAGTTGTTGGATAAAACATTGTATGATACTCGTGTGTTATGTTTTCTAAGTCACTCGAGAAATTATACCACTCGATCTGACGGCCTCGTGGTATAGATTTTTCTCAAGTGATAGCAAAGGTAAATAAAGTAGAGTGAAAGAAATCGGTGAGGGAAATCGGAGAGGAAAGTAGAATAGGTAATATGGGGTCAGTTAAGTTAGCCCCTCCCATAGAAAATTTCTGGATGAAAATTATCCCAATGCTCTCATTTTGCTCCATTTTGCTCCACTAATTTCGATTTTTGCTCCATTACAGTGGAGAGACTATGTGGCCTATTAGGTGGGGGGGGGGCTGAATTAACGCTAGCCCCCCCCAGTAAAAATTCAGAAATTTGATCATGCTCATTTTGTTCTCCGAGTTTTGCTCCATTTTGCTCCACTATCGGCGAGTTTTTTTGCTCCATTACCAGGAGAGACCTACAGAGCTCCCAAGAATCTCTCCCAGCCCCC